CGGAGGACCCGTCCTGCTGTTTTGGACACAGCCTACGTTCTGTTGGACGTATTTTCTGTTAACATTGATCTTGTGTCTACAGATGATCGTTGGTGTTTTCTCGCCCAGCCCTGTTCACGATTGTGTTTTTTCCATCACTGATACAGTCACCACTATCTCTGGTCCTCTCAGGTGCGATGAAGATGTCGAGCTCCGACAGCTACTTCTACGCGGCCATCATCGCGGTGCTCGCCGTGCACGTGGTTTTGGCTCTGTTCGTTTACGTGGCGTGGAACGAAGGTGCGCCTAAAAGCAAGGGCAAGCATGATTAAGGCGCGCCCCAGGTCAGCTACTGAGAGCAGCGGAGATGGACGCAGGCAGGCAGGGATCCACAGAGCCCATCCCCCTCCTCCCTCCTGTGGGCATCAACACTCAACACCGTGGAGAAAACCAGATCGATCGAGGGGGTCTGGTTTGGGCTCAGGCTTTAACCCGAGGGCAAAACAGGAAGTGCTGCTTTTGCCTTGGTGTGGGGGGTTGGGGTAATGGGAGTCTGCTTGGTGCAATTTCTTACCGAACCCAGCAGGCATTTTTTTTATGGTTCTCTGAAATTATTCCTTTTTTCTGAAACCTCTGATTTTTATTTATTTGTTTTTTTAAAGAGGCTTTGTGTTCAGAAATCATTTCTGCATCAACCCAAGCCCSTCCACACTCAGTTTGTCATGTCAGAATGCATCCCGGGTTAATCCACTGATGTGCACATCTGCAGACCACATTCTMTTATTTATGATGTGTGAGTCTGAGTCCAGAACGCAGCTGATCATTCTTGTCCTTAAGTTTCAGTCCTCATCCGAAGACGGATAAGGTTTCATTTGTTGTGTGTTTTGGAACGACGTCGTCATTTTCACCTGTTTTTCATCTCTGATTGAGCGTGTTTGTGTCCCGTGGTGAGGCCGTGTTGTCAAACTGCAATTGTTTTTATTTAAATGGTCGTTTTGTGTGAAAATGTTCAGTGACTTTTTTTATTTAATTTTTTAGAGCTTGTACAAGTGTGAATGCTGAATTGCTTGAATGAAATAAAGTTGAAAAGATTTTTTGTGGTTTTGTTCATTAGCGACTTGAAAGGAAATAGTCGCAAATGGCTGCACTTAACATGAGAGGCCTTTTAGGCCGTATTTCATTCTTGCCTCTCATCAAAGAGCTTAAATCGAACAGCTGGAGTGTGCAGAGACCATGTGACCGTGTGTGAAGCTAACGGCTAACGCTAAATGGTCAAGAGTTTGGATTTTTCATTACTGTACATGTTGGCAGAGCAGAAAAAAGGACTGACGATGTAGAAATCATAAAAACTTAATATTAACCGAAATATTAATATTTTACAGTTTATATAATCTAATGTTTTAAATAATGTCAGAAAAGCTGTTTGTGTTATGGATTTATTAACAGAAGACAAACAGGAAAACGTCTCATTTTACAACACAAGTCAGCAGATTTGATCTTATTTAGCTCAATGTGATCTGAGCAGAACATAATGTAACAGTTTAAAAATTAAAATAATCTTATAAAGTCCATGTAATCACTGTTATTTATTGAACTGGTTAACAGATATTAGCTTGTGGAGCATATATACAGCACTGTTGAATCATACAACAATTTAACACAAACTATTAAATATTACTTTGTCCTCTGATTCATATTTAGACCTTCAGAGTGTAAAATAATTTTATAAATGTATTTTTAGGTTTCTGTTAGAGAAACCTGACTTGTTGAGGAGATGGTTAGATAATAGAGACAAGTTTCATCCTATAACCAGAGAACATTTTCTAACTGTTGACTGGTAAATATAAATATTCTTATTTTTATGGCATTAAGAAGAAATAATAAATATACTTTATTACTAGCTGAAGTCTAAGTTACAGGCTGACTTCAGGTCTGGTTTAGATCATTGTTACTTAGAAATTATGTATTTTTTCTGGTATAAATCTGTTTTACATGATGAATGAAATTAACATAATTATTAATTTATTGTAAAAACATGACCGATAATAAATAAATAATAAATCAACCTCAGGTTGATATAAGTATTTTCTGAGTCTGGATTGATAGCAAAATAAGACCAACCAAATAGCTGCAATTTAAAAATATGATTTGTATTTTTCTTCTACAACTGGGAACTCCCTATCATAGTACTTAGATCAATGAAAACATAATCTAGTTGATAGACATGTTGAGCTCTATTAGGTTGTAGGAAATACATGATCATTTAATGGAAGTCTGAATAAAATAGCAGAAAACCAGTTATTTTCTAAAAAAAAAAAAACAGGTTTTATTCTGGTCTCTACTCCAAGCAGCACAGCAGTCAGGCCTCAGAGTAAAAAGGCCTTGGGCCTTATCACAACCTAAACAATAACAAACTCAAGCTGCTGCAAACTTAACAACTAACAAAACTGAATAATGATGAAATAACCATTTAACATAGACGTCTGACTTCCTGGTCACACCCCTGGAGGTGGTCCTTTTCAYCTCAGAGGTTGGAACGTAACTAACTTTTGGTTACGCAGACAGAAAGGCCTCATATAAGACACAACTCTTATTTTCTGTTTAAAACATGTGGCTGCAATGATCAGGAAGTATGAAAATACAAAACTGGATCTTATACAGTTAACCAGTCACAAAATGTCCTTCAAGATGCTGTGTTGAGGACCACTCAGCTATCACCGCACCAAATTTTTACTTAAAATTAGCATATTTGTTATAATGGTTTTGTGTAGGCTAAAAACGATAAGCTGTGTCAGATATCTTGATTCTGTTTGACTCCAGAAGTTAACCAGTTTAGAWGATCTGTTGGTGACTCGCAGTTTCATTAAAATGTACCCAGTGATTCACGAGATATTTTGCTAACAGACAGTAATTACAGCAAATAAAACTGCACCACACTACTGAATTTACACACATTAAAGTGACTGTTTCTGTATGGACGTGTTTGTAGCATAAACAGTTTGTGTATTTAAGTTTTTAGTTCAGTTAAAGAGAGGGAAGTTGTATAAAAGTCCTGTAAAAAATCCTGGTTTTRTTTGCAGTGAAATCGTTTTAATGAATCGCGGGCGGTCTAAAAGTCAACAATATTTGTGTGCATGTTTGAGGTTATGAAAAAGCCAAAACTATGTCAGTAGATTAGTAAAAGTCATTTTTATCGTTTAAAGGATCTTTTGATAAAATCTAGGTTGACCGTTTTTTTTAGGCCTGCACATGACACTGTATGAAACAGGAGGCCATTACTCTTCCATCTGTTGTGTAAGCCGCTCGGAACCAGGGTGGCTTCATGAGTGCGGTCTTTGTGTGGCCCGTTTAGTCAGAGACAGGCTCTGTTATAATGTTTATCCCACAAGCATTTTTACTGTCACAACAGGATCTGTTACAAGATAAGCTCTTCCTGCGATCGAAAAAAACTAAAGAGACTGATCGTTTCATTCACTCCTTTCAAATTAAAGCAACGCATGTCGCCCGTTACATTTCATTCCACACTGAGATCATAAAAGGAAAAATGGCATCCATTTTAATTAAATCTTGTAAGCAACGTTTTAGTTAATCTCATGCCTTGTTGCAAGATTTGGTGAGACGAATTTGTGCTCAGAAAGTCTATTGAGGAAGATTCTCATCTATTTCTACAGCAAATTTCAGCTCATTATCTGTAAAATTCACTGAGCTATAATCACTGTTGTGTTCGTTAGGGTCAGCTGTCTGCAGCGGCCATCGTGAATCTGGCGGGCTCTGAAAGTTAATCATTTGTAGATTTAGATTCAGTGGTTATTTTTCTTTTAATTTCATTCAAATCCATTCAGTGGTTCATGAGATATTTTGCTAACAGACATGATTTACTTCAATAGTTCATGACAACATTTAAAAAGCAGGTCTTGGGCGATCAGTTCGTGCTCACAGTTTGTGTTGTCAATGTCTCTCAGCTACTACTTCTGCAACTTTTAGCTCATAATCTGACAAACTGACTGACTTTTAGCCAATTATGTGTTTTCTAAGGTTTGTTGGCGGTGGCGGCCATTTTGGCTCTTGTTGTCTCTGCAAGTTAATCGATTGTATGCATACATCTAATGATTTTCTTTTTTTTAGTTTCATCAAAATCCATTCAGTAGTTCATGAGATATTTTGCTAACAGACAAACAGATGCAAGAAAAACATCATGGCCTACAAAATATTCTCTCCACACAGTTAGCTGTGTTATTATTTTTATTTTTGTCTTCTTATAGATGAGTGAAATAAACCCAAGCTGTGTTTGAGGAGTCGGTGGGTCGTGTTGTTTTGTGCAGAGAGTTGGTGCTGTCACATGGTGGCAGCAAGCGGTCAGCCTGTTCCCACAACACAACAAGCAGGCTGAGATAAGAGCTGACAGATGCACGGCTGGAAAGATATTTTCTGCCTCAGAAAGCATGTCAGCTGCTGACTTTTAGTCGTTTGCCTCCTACGTTCTCCGGAGATCCACCTCTCACCGTTTGTTATTTTTATTTTCCCACTTTGCACCCACTTTAAGTTTCGCTGAGTTGGAGCTGATCTTATTGTGAGGAGGTGTCGGATGATGAGGTGACAGACAGATTGATCCAGTCAGAAGTCCTCCCCTCCAATTTATTCTGACAGCTAGTTTAAAATGTTTTGCACTAGCCATAAGTTCATCTGAATAAGACAAATCAGAAATGATTCAATATAGAAAAGGTTGTCGCTTATTTTGAATCTGCCCAGCAGAGGGCCTCCCGCCTGCAGAAATAACAAACTGTGGGTCAGAGCTTAGATGAGAAAG